AAGGGCAAAGGAAGCATGGGCCATACATGGAGACCTTATCTCAAAAATAATTAGATAGGTAGTTAGGTAGACAAATAAATAAATAAATGGAATATTTCTGTAAAGTACTATGCATGCAACTGTCAATGTAATATTATTATCATAAAGATGAGAGGTGCCTTTGGAAAAATTAGTTGCTCATAGTAACATCTAGATTTATAATGACTAAGTCAAATATAGTCAGAAGCAGAACTTCTACAGAAACAATCTAAATAGAACTATAATTAATAACAAACAAACAAAACATTATACTAATGAGAGTTTCATTATCTGGTGAGGTGTAAAACTCAACCTCTTAACCGTTCTGACCAAAATACTGAACTGCCACAGTCCAGACACATACACACTGGCCATATGGCTACACCGGTTCCTCAGGTTTGTGGCTATGTCTTTATTTGTGCCTCTGCCTCTGAATTATGCTGACCATTCATAGCATCCTAGCATACTGGTGTGTTCACAGAGATGTGCATGTGTGTCTCTCTGTGTGCGTTGGAAGCACTTCTAAAATAAATTCATCTCTGGTAGCAATTCCTTCCCTCTAATACTGCAGTCCAGCAGCATTAGAAAATTTCAAGGGGTTTGTGATTTTTTTACATGGTCTTACATGCTTTCTCAAAGATACAAACTTCTCTGAGCCATATCTGATAGCCTGAAATTGATGCTGCATTAAAAACAACCTGATGAGAATTTTACAGGGAAGCAGTTTCCTGTTGTAATCCTCTCCAGCTGTCAAATTACCATTTTCACCAGTTCAGCAAATCTCTTGGAATGATTTACCATCGTGGACAAGACTCATTCACATGGCAAAAGGAGAGATCTCCTTAATCATGTTCTTTTAAAGTCCAATCCAATAAGGCCTTCTGTGCGGGGAGAAGCTAACTCCTACCTACTGGTGCCCATGCTAACCCTGCAAGAATCCCTCTAGCGTCAGTCCTTCCATTGAAATTCTGGTCTTGGAAGAAATGAGTACATGGCCATCAGCACTAAAAGTGAGACTTGGAGCATCAAATGATCAAAATACTCCTTTGGGCTAAGATCTGTCTTGTACTTTATGAGCTACTTAAAGAAGAGCAACTACCTCAGTGGAGCTGTAGAAGACAATAACTACTTTGAAAGCCAGTGGATTGCTTTCTTTAACATAGCTTCGAAAGGTAACTATATGCATAAGTGAAATGAAGCAGCATGAAAATTGTAAACAAGGGAAGATTATTTGTGTATACTGGGAGGTCCTCCCCTTGATGTTCAAATCAAACCTATACAATCTAAAGATTTTGAATATAACACTTGCACTATTTCATCTTTTTTCTACATGAAGCTACCAGTTTTATTTGCCTGAAGATTAAATAAAGCCAAATAACTACCTATAAAATTCAACTAACCAGTTGTATACACACTGGTAATATCTAACATGAAAAAGGATTCACAGCTACTCCCATCCCAAATGGTTCATCAAATCGCAAGCATACATTCAAGAAGACCAGCCCCGGGCTGAATGTGTAAAGACACATTTAAAATTGCCTATAATTCATCCAATGAGGGATCCACATACTATGGCGCTACAGATTCCCAGGAAAGGTCTGAAGCAAGGTCATTCTAAAAAAGGATAAAAGTTGGCTGCATGGATTAAAGAAAGCCACAAATTGTTAAACACTATTTCCACCAGGAGATGTAGTCTATGATCCCTTGTCTTGAATCTGGGGGCATTCAGCAATATCTTGAACATTAAGATACAATGGAAATGACACTGTTCCAGTTTCTCTTAAGAGACTAGCAGCTTCCATTTCTGTCTGTTAGGACACTTGTTATAAAAAGCCAGGTAAAGAAGTATAACCACTCTGAGATTATGAAGCGGTAAGAAGCCTGATATACGTGGTGACACCAGAGAAGATGAAAACCACAGGAGTAGACAGAGAAAGAGAGAAAAAGAGAGGCATGGAGAGACAAACAGAAAAAGAGACAAGGTTCTTGACATTTTAATGAAGGTGCTTTCTTGCAAGTGGACCCTCCATCCCCAGCAGCTTCAGCTGACACCAGTTGGATAATGTTCATTCCTTCATGACCCATAAAATCATGAGCAAAATAAAATGGTTGTTCCAAGCCACTAAGTTGGGAATGGTTTGTTATTCAATGACACATTAGTAGAATATGGACTTACTGCATGTGAAAAATATTAGAAATAGAAGAGCTCAAACTGATGCTCTATTAATTTCCAATTTAACTTCAATAAAGCTGCTACAAGGCAGACTGGTGAATTTTTTATGACATAATAAAAATGCAATAGCATTCACACCAGATATGCAAAATTACATTTTAAATAAACTGACATGGTAATTTGAACATTTGACAGGTTTGAGCATCTCTCTTGTAAAATTCCCTTTTCACCCATTTATCACTTCTTAAAGTAAAACTGAGGCAACACTAAAGTCTCATATTCCAGGTTAACTACATGTAAAAATGATAAATCACTTTTTGCTACTGAAACTACTGTGCTGTCTAATCTGAGTGATTAATTTACATCCTGCTCAGTGGTTCACATGCAATTATTACAGTGAGTCCAATGAACCTGAACACAACAGAATTGTCTAGTCATCTGTATAAGCTGACTATATTTGGAAAACTATAGCAACCTCCAGGAAGCCTGAAAATTTTAGCTCATTTTCCTGTCATTGACTTGTGTACTCCATGTTGTATATCAAGTTATGATACCACTCCTTTGGACTGTTGACTTTATTTAGAAACCACAGGACACAGGAATCTCTACCAAATGATGATGCTCATTAGAAAATGTTAAGGTTAAAGCAATCATCTAAAAATGCCATTGGTAGATTTTAACTGCATTAATATTTTTATCTGAATGTAATATGTTTAGATCTGTAATACTGAAGTTAAAAACAATGAAAAGAAGACGCTCATCTTTTAGACTGAATTATGGACTCTAAACGCTTTCAAAGAAAAAGGCCTAAGGAAACCTATTTCTTTGGAATGTGCTTTTTCAAATGTTTCTCAATAGTAAAGAAATATTTTAGCCTCTACATTAATTACATTCCAAATACTTCTCCTTAATGAGAGGTCACTGAGGCTGGAGTGTCTCATGCTAGAACATTATTTTTATTAAGTATATTAATCATACGAAACAGTAGTCTTCTGAGGATTTTCATTTGATCATGCCATTCCAAGCCTGACATTCCAGAATTCACTCAAACTATTATTAGAAAAGCCCTTGGAAGATTCACATGTTATCCGGTACACAAAATAGGTAGCTTATATATTTTGGAAAGATAACTTTTGTTTATATTTAATCAACTCAAGATTAAGTTGTGTAGGATACTACTGTGGCATTTCTCCCCAGTACCATCACCAATAGACTGAAAAAAAATTAATTTAAGAGCTCATTCCCTAGGAATATATTCTAGGCACTGTGCCAGATGAAGAAGAAACCAGAAAGCACAGTGTACAAGATGCCCACTGTCAACTACAGAGAACGGATGTAAAACGTCAGCAGCATGGGAGCACATAGTAGGCAAATAACTCAGAGTATTATCTAATGGATAGACCATAGAATACTCAAAGACATAGAGGAAAGAATTAGCAAGGTGTGTTCAAAAAAAAATCACAATGCATTATCATATGGGCAATATCCGCTCCCTGGTGTCCTGAAGGGTTTCTGGGTAACTTTGGAATAAATATACTTTGTCCCATCTCACTCAGGAAAAGCTCCCTAACACACCTACCCTTAGATAAGTCTCAGATACAGATATTGACTAAAAGCTCACCAAAGCTCTTCCTAAGAAAGCATCACTGGGCATCAGGACCTTTAGGATCACAACTTTGCTGAAAAGCCATAGGTAAAGTTTAGAGACTAAGAGGAACATTGGAAGAGGCAGGAGATGATTCTGGAAAAGTAAAAGAGGTCATGGGAGACCTCCTGTGCCATTACTGTTTGATTAAATTTATGAGAACACATCATTGTAAAAGTGCATACCAGATGAACCAATGAATGAAATATGTGAGGTAATGGATATGCCAATTTGTTTGACTATAGCAATTATTTTACTATGTATACCAAAACATTTATATACCTGAAACTTAAAAATGACCTAATGAATAAATTCCACCACAGTGCACGTGACATTTCCAATGTTCACTTCATTATTCTATCATTTAATGACTCCACCCTCCCTCTCCCTGTTCACAACTTGCATGCATGCACAAATTTACATGCTGCTCCTGCAAACAGCAAACATCTGTGGAAGGACACTTGAATGGAAAGCTGAAATCACATATGCCCTGAAAAATGAGCTCCTCAAGGGAACTCTGCCTTCACGCAAAGACCTCATAAATCATGCTAAAATAACAAAGAAAGGTCAGAGCCAGTGTCCACCTGACCCTTTCAAAGCACCTATAAATATGGTCCAGAGCCAGGCCAGACTTCATCTTTGTGCTTCCATTCTTCCATGCAGTGGGTATATGTAGAGAGTATGAAAAATTCTACTTCAAATTACCTTTCCCACACTCAAATCAAAAGACTACTATTGCCCTTAAAGGAATTTGTACCTATACACTGAGCTCAACACCATTTTCACAGCAAACCAAGCAAAGGAGAATTTGAGGCAAACTAAAAGAGTATTTAAAGACCTCTTTATGTTCCTTACTCACAAATCTTCAGTCTCACCAGCCCAGACCTTCTCTCGTGATGGTTTTGGTAAAATCACCATCGAGCACAACAGTAATAAGCCTCTGGATCCACAGGATCTACTCTGGTGAAGGTATCCCCCCTACTGTGCTACACTGATGTTGCAATCAATTTTTAATTACAGAAGCAGTAGTGGTCAGGAGATAACACAGACAATTTGCAAAGAAGCCAAGAAACCGTTTATTACAATTCCAGCTGATCACAAGCCACCAATGATTTGGCTGACCATGGTCCCTTCAGTTCCCCTTTCCCAGAAGAATGCGCTTACCTCTGGGATGTTTTCTTATATTTCCGCCTGTAGGAAAAGAAGCAGAAACACATATCAGAAAAGACCTTTGGTAAGCAATGGGATAAAGGATTAATTTAGTAGGGTTGGGCAAGGAGATAAGCACTTTCGGGATAGGGTGGGGTCCCTCTGTGAAGCGTATGGGTTTCAAAGTCCAGTTAAAAGCTTGGAATTGTTGTGTTATATATATTGTGTTCAGCTGTGTACAAATTTAGCCTTAACAGTAAAACTAGCCACCCAAGAGCTCAATGGCTCTGCTCCTATGTTCCTCCCTTTTCCCTTTGATGGCACTGTGGCATCTTAGTTAAGGTAAGGCTTTAAAAACAGCAGGACCCACACTCAAACCTCAGCCTTTTCATCTGCAAGACTCATGAGATTGCAGTACAGTAAATAGGCTGAGGCTTGTAAGACATTCCTTATGTGTGGCGCATATTAAATGGGAGGTAGTTATTAGTTATTTGTGTTGCCACTGTTGTCACTATTAGCCCCAATAACTAGCAGTACAGAACCTTTAAGGGTGGGACCTTTTGTATGTGTGTTGGGAATCAAACCCAGGGCCTCAAGCATGCTAACTACATGCTCTACCACTGAGTTGCATCCAGCCCCAGAAGGTGATTATCTTCTTAAATGTAATCATGTTTCATACAGCTAAACCATGAAATTAGACATAAGGTCATCAAAGAAGGAAGAGGTGGGGAGGGGGACAATGAAAAAGTCTAGAACCAATGGTAGCAACATCACTGGGAACTTGCTAATGACTCAATTGAATATGTTCCTGGGAAAAGGCCCAGGTCTGGCCCATCTTTACTATTTACAGTCATCAGTTAACCTTGGGCAAATCCTTGGGCATTGGGCTTCTTGATCCATCAAATGGAGATGGTGACATCTGTTCTGGCTGTGTCACCTAAGTCACAGTGGCATTCAAGGGGAAAGGGACCTAAAAATATATGGACCCAATATCCTAGGGTATTTCATGTTTGTATCACTTTTGTTGGCTCTGAAAAACCCTCCAAAGAGTTTTAATAGGTTCTTCAGTGGAGAGGATAAGAGGGAAGGAAGAGCCAGGAGAGAAAGCTACATCTCCCGCAGCATCTCCAGGAAGTACAATGCTTCCTGTTTTTCTTAGTTCCACACCTGCTTGCCCATTACAGTCACTGAACCAGACTAATTCGCTAACTGGGAGCTATATGCCCCATGGGTTTCTTTGGCTGTCTGTTTATTAGTTTAAGAGTACAAAGTTTTCAAATTCAAAATCACTGTGACCTCTCAAAGTGAAAACATGTTATATACTAAGTTAAGTATTAAATAAAGAAAACAGCATGCAACACAGACCCTACAGCATGTTCTTTTGTTATCAATATATCTGACAGGAAACACACCAGAAAAACAAAAATGATCCTAAGGTAGCAGGTTAATGGGTCACTTATTTTTACTTTTACGGATTTTCCAAGTTTTCACTAAAGAATGAGTATTATGATTATAATTAGAATAAATTTCTAAAATTATGGATAGATATACAGTCATATATTTACACATAAATAAGAACATACAGATATACACCTGTGTGAATTATATCACCTATGCAGGGAGGAAAGTCCACTAAAGGAGTTTTTAGGGTTTGGGCTCCAGAGCAAACTGTTCCACTCTTGGTTCTAGCTCTTAGCTCTACAGTGGTGGATTCCACCCCTCTGAACCTCTTCTTCACCTAAAAGTAGAAATTGTCAGAGCACCTCTCTTGAGACCTTGTCATGAATAAATGAGATCATTCACCTGAATGTCAGCTCCCCAAGGTCAGGTTTTGTGTGGTTCTTCACTATAACCTCATGTTTAAAACAGTGCCTTGTCTTACTTCCAGAAGCTGAGATGGGTGTGCATTGCTCACTCACTCCCTTGCACCTGGACACTGTCACAGTGATATCTCACTGTCCAAGCAGTAGCCAAGGGCAGAGGTTTCATCTCCAGGCACAGCAGAGAGTAACGGTGTGACCCAAGCCTTTGACCTCCTTATCACTGTCTTGTTTCTTGCCTTCAGTCCTTTCACATTCTCAGTGAGTTGCATTTCAGTCTATCAGAGTCTCCTTAGACAAGTTTGTTAGACACACATCCACTATCTGCTAGTGCTTCTCCCTTGCCTACCATGACATGCTTGGCAAATGGCACTTGCTCAATATATTGTCAAATGAATGAATGAAATTATCAAGAAATTGACCCAAAATGCTTTCTTTTTCCCCATTTCATTCTGCTTAGTAATGTCATATTAAAGTAAGGACATCTACCACAGCTGTGGTTTCCTATACACAGGAGAAAACCAAGTATAGAGGACAGGGCAGCTCACAATTGGTGGGCCTCTTCTGCTCCAGCCTGGTACAGAAATTAACTCACTCAGGCCTCCCACAACCACTAAGAGGATTACCCACTTCATGCTTGATGGAAGTGAGGCTCAGAGAGGTTAGGTAACTACTAAGCTAATAAGTAACTTACAAGTAACTAGTTCTAAGGATATAGAACCTTAAAATGGCTAATACAGAAGCAAATTCTGAAGCCTTCAAAGAACTCAATCAAACAACTCAAAAGATTCCAGGAGGAAACTTAGACACTAGATGAAAACAAAACCAACAACAGCAAAACACACTGGGTTCTTTTCATTCAAAAGCAGAAAATGAGCCGGAAAAGAAACCCAGTTTATTCTTGGCCTTTTGTTTTTTAATATCTTCAACAGAATTCAGCCCTGACTCACTACCTGAAAGATAAAGGGATTACTTTTATTTTGGTTTTCAAGCTTACGTTGAATTTACAGTTTTTTGGAACTTGAGACAATTACAGCCCAAATCTCATGATTCCTGGGGCTAGACTGGGCTTAGAAGGTAGAGAATGATTAGGAGCCACTGTCCTCTGGGACCTGACTAAGCTAGCAGCACTCTGTGAACTCTCCTCACAAAACAGGCTCTACTCTTCACACACACATGCACACATGCACACGCACAATTAGCACACATGCATATGCACACAAACTTGCATCCGCTTGCAGACATATGCACATGTGTGCACACACACTCATGCACATACATACACGTGAATACATACACACTCAAAGGAGTTTTTTTTTATGTGTTTTTAAGGAATGGCAGTGTTTAAGATCACTTAACAGAGTTCAAACCCCTTCTGCAACTTAATATATCCAATAAACTTTGTGACTTTTAGCAACTTACATCACTTTCCCAATTACCTGTTTCTTCCTTTGCAAAAATTTTGGTAATAATACTCACCTCACAGGGTGGTGTGAGAGTTCAATGCGATGATGACTATATAGCATTTAGCATGGAGAGTTCAATGCGATGATGACTATATAGCATTTAGCATGGAGCTGAGGTGTCCAGTAAATATTCAAGAAAGGGCTAGCTACTGCCTTAATAACAATGGTGGTACATAAGTCATAATGCTATTCTAATTCAATAGATTTTCAAATTTTGATTAAATAAAAAAAGCTTTTTGATGATTAAAAAGCCAAGAAAATAGTTGAACATCACTAAAATGGAAAACTCCCAAAGCTCCTTATCTTGGAACACACGAACTATAAAGAAAGCAGGTGCTTATCTCTATCACTAGAGGAGGAGGAGCTGAATCTCTGCCTCATACTCCTCATGCCCAGGTGACCCTGCAAGCCTCTACATCCTGCCACCTAATCTAGCAAGGTTCCACCTAACCAACTTGAGCCTAGCCAAGCCATACACTTCCATCTGATGTTAAAGCTGGGCCACTGTTCAGAAGATAGGAAAAAAGAAAGTAAAACTGGGCATGTGTGAACTGAGTATCTCAATGATCCTTGGAGATATCTGAAATGATTTCAACAAAAATTCTTATTACTAATAGTTCCCTATACCCTGAACTTAGTGTCTTGCCTACATATCACCCCGAAGCATTTTCAGGAAGTTGTAACTCTGTGCACAGACACCATGTGCTACAACTAGAATTACTGATTGCCCCACACTAATTTATCTTTTAAGCAAATTAAAAGACTGCTGGTCTTCACTGAAAATCAATGACTGTTTAAGTCCAGAATATTTCAGTGAAACTGGTTTTCCCAAGAAGAATCCAATGGAGTGAGCGTGTGTGTGTGCGTGTGTGTGTGTGTGTGTGTGTTTGTGTGTGAGTGTGTGCACTTATGGGGGTGTATAGAACAGCTGAAGAGAACACAAAAACCTCCCCTTAAAGACTTCAGTCCATTTACATCCAACTAGCCACACCCTGACAAAGGGGTGCTGAAACAGGAGCATCATCAAAAAGCAAGAAATAACCACCCCCAGTCTAGCAGAGGCTTCTCAACCCTTGGCTTCAGTAAGCTGGGAACAAGGATGCTCTGAAGGGGCTTTGTTTGCCTTTTGACAGCTAGAAGTTCCCAAAGCAGGAGTTCCTGAGCAGCCCTCCAGTCAAATGGAAGTGTCAAGTCCCCAAAGTCAAACAGATGATGTGGGAATGGTTTCTGATAGCCTGGATAAGTGAGAGTGATTAAACATTGATGCTAAATTGTGACGCCTGGTTGTCTCTCATGTCTTTAAAGTGAGTGTTTTTGAGCAACAGCCATATGGGTACTGCAATAATGAGGTTTATAAATAGGCTTAATATTCTAACAAGCTGGCTTTGAGAAAGCAAAACTTGTGCTCTGCTTCAAGTTGACAGCAAGACACCTCCCAGTTAGGCACAAGGTCTTTGGCATGGAAATGGAATATGCAAAAACTGCACACATGTCAGCACACACACAATGAGAATTGCAACTCTACTTTTGGTGTACTCCAGGGTTTCTGGTGACAGTGACTCACCCTGGAGATGATTGTTTCTCCAACCTCGCCTACAGAGACCACACCACTGCTAACACACAGTCAGCTGGTTATAGCAATCATGATTCTCAGCCCTCAGTTCCCTCAAGTGAGAGGAGGTTAAGGGACAGATACAGAGAAGCACAACAAAGTAAGCAGCAGCACTTGGGTCATTAACTATATGTTCTCATGAAG